ATTACTCTCACGGTGGAAGCAGCATTTCCGTAATCTCTGCCTTGGACTTTCTCGTTTCTGCTTTCTGGTTCACTGGCGAATTTCGTTAAACTTTCATCATAGCGATACACGTCCTCTTGCGGCATAGCTAAACCAATCGCTCCTTCGCCCTCCATTTTTCCACTAACCTCAAAATCTCCGGACAATTTCTCCGTACCGTAATTGAAACGATACGGATTTTCGTCGAAATCGAAGTAATTATAATTTTTCACAGGATCAAAAGTCGTCATTGATTCAGACTTTTCTCGAACCTGGCTATTTTTATTTCGCTCAGGATATAATTCGGTATAATCATTTTCTACGATAACCTCACTTTTTTCAGTCGGCTTTAAAAATTCCAATTTCTTCAAATTTAACGAATCCGGAGCTTGTACTTGAACCTGACGCTGTATCTCGATATTTGGTCGTTCGGTGTTTTTGTAATTATTATTCAAAGTGTATTTGTAACGCTTCCAGAATTCTGGCTCCTCTTTTCTCCGATCAGATTTCATTTCTTCGATTTTAACAGGCGTTCGATTATCTCGTTTAGCGTTTACAGGCCGATTAAGAAGCATCTGTCGTTTCTCAGAAACTTTTCCACGTTCCAAATCTTTTTTAAGACGATCGATATTCTCAGAAGTGTCGCGAGATTTTTCCGTTGAACTATCAAACGTTACTCTTCTTCCTCGTTGCTGCCGCGTATCTTTATCGGGCTTTCGACGAATATTCGAAACTTTGATACCACTATTATTGCTCGATTTCACCGGAACACCGTTGGCATGAATTATCCCGTCCAGAACGAAATCAAACGGCGGCGGCCATACTTGTAGCTCCTTCTCTTCACCTTCGTGAAGTTTCTTCGGCGTGTGTCTCTCCGAAGGATTCACCATCGCCTTCAAATTCTCCTTTTTCGGTCTGTACGGTTCTTTGAACGAAACTTTCTTGGTAGCTTCTGCTTTCGGTCCGTTATTATCCTTGGACGATTTCTCGCTCGTGAAGAGCCTCGATTTCGCTTTCTTTAATTCCTCAGGAGCGTCGAGATAGCGAACGGGGACAACGAGCGGCATGTATTTGCTAAAATCCGTTTCTTCGCTGGTTCTCCGTTCTTCCAAATAAGATCTATTCTTGCCGTTCGATGAAATATTATTGGAATATCTTAACGACGGTTCTGAAGTGTCTTCGTTAGAACCTTCACCATCCTTCCTCCTCGTGTCCTCCTCCAAACTATATTCCTCGTACTTATTCCTAGCCGGAGACTCGTCCTCTTCCCTGATTTTCTCGCCGCTTCGATCCTCCTCTTTACCACGCGAGTCCTCCACCTCCTTCGACCCCCGAGGCGCAAACGAGCTGTAAAAGTCGCTCAGAGGTTCTTTGAACTTGGAGAAATAATTCAAAAATCCCTCGTCGAACAGTTCACGGTTGCCCAAAAGTTCTCCGTAACTGTTACGCAGTTCTTCAGGTCGTCGTTGTTCGTCGTCGTCACTCAAAGGCAGAGGTTCGCTGTACTGTATACCAGTATAATTCTCACTAGTCTCAGGAGTGTCCTCGTATTGCTTGTACTTGTAATCCTCGTCCTTGTAATTTCTATACGAATCTTCCTCCGCATTCGTCGTTTTCTGAGTCGTAGGATACTCTGCAATCCTTTCTCCGCTCTCGTATCGATCTTCCTCCTCCTCAGATCGATCGCCCTTAAGATTCTCCTTCTCTTCGTTCCCACAGTCGTTGTTTCCATGGCGGATCTCCTCGCCGCTGTAATTGTCATCTTTCCCTCCGTTCCGGTACCACTCCTGCTGCCTCAGCTGGTGCGCCTGCTCCTCCTGCCTGCGCTCTAGCTCGGACAGTCTCTCCTCGTGTTCCTTCTTCCACTCTGGTTCCTCGTTCGGCGGAGCAGCCGATTGCACCTCCTTTCCACTCTTAATTTCCTCGCTCTCCACCGTCGTCCTCTCCGTACTCTCGTTTTTCCTGTACACCGGTTGCTGCTCCTTGCGAACCGGGACCAACGGTCCGGGATAGGATAGCTGGATGTCCTGCGGAGGAATCTCTGGTAAAGGTGACTGTGGAACGACGGGCAAGGGTGGTTCTGCTACGTTAGGCAGAGGAATCTTGAGCAGGAAAGGAGGCTGCGTCGATTGGTTGGAGATCGACGTTCTTGGATCGAGCTGAGGTGGCGCGATGGACGACGTAGGGGTTTGAGCGGTAGAATTAGAGCTGCCATTTTGTCGATGAAATATCCTCTCGTATTGCTGCAAGTGGCCCAAAAGACCGGTGCTGTTGCCGAAGTTCAGCACACCTGTGAACCTGATCGTTTCACGCTGTTTAGGCGTGGCAGCGGTCGACGAACCGCTCGATTCGGTGGAATTCGGAGGTTGCTGGTTATTATTAGGAGTCGCTCGTGCTTCGTCCTCGGAAGTTGGATTGGGCAACGAGGCTATTTGAACAGGATTTACCGTGTACCCGAAGACCTGCGCCAGGCCAGAAAGAATGAGACCTAATGCTCGTTTGTCTCTCGGTATGTTTGCGTTTAGAGTTCCCTGTGTCCCTCGGGCGCTCAACGAAGGGCTGGATCTCGAAATCGACTCGGACTGGACGAACGTGCACAGCACGCATAGGTAATACAGCACTTGGAATGTCCTAAGCTTCATTGTCGAATGTTCGACCACTTTCTCGTGGGAAGTTACACTTTGCGCATCGAGTAATAGCAATGCAACGATCTTGGACACTGTGACATCTTCGTTCACGTCCTTGAGTCGTGTTCAATTTTTCGACATTTGTTTTTATGATAACAAATTTAGTTCTATTTCTCCGGTTTGTTTAACGTAGACACGATTCGCTGCTAGGTACGCCTGAGAGTGATTCGAGCGAAGTATACGTGATCGTGTGACAAAGTTTTGTCGGGACTAACGGTCGGTACCTTTGTTACCTGGAGATTCCGCGAGGACTGCGGGACCGGTGTCGCGCTCGAGCGTCGTTAAACAAAATGCTAACTGGCGGGGATGGATTTTTGCATAACATCGGAAAGAAATGCCGAGTTTCTCCTCAATTGCACAGAGCCGCCCGTTGATTTGCGACAACTGAAGCGGCACGTCGTAACGCGGGAAAGAAAACACCACGGAACTGCACGGATTCAGACGACGATAGTTAGGATCGTAATAGATTCAACGCGAGCACCTGGTTCTTTTAATTACAGAGGGAGCCGTGGGACGTAATTACAGGAGGGAACGTGGCGCGGTGTTCTTTTCATGCCTCGAAGATACGGCGAATTGAAGCGCGGTTTTTCGTCACCAACGTTTTAGAAAGTAATCGAATTTCATTCGGAAGAACAGACGCAAGAAATGCGGAGATATTCTGGGAGAATTGTAATTGGATTATGCAGAAACGATTGTGACGACGTTAGGTTTTCTCTGTTCTACTTCGCTTTTTAGCGAGATTTTGTTCGATAGTCGTGGGAAATTTTAGAATTGGAAGTTTTGAAAATGTATGGAATAATATTCTGTTACTTCGACGAGGAGAAATTGCTTGGAGAATTTTTTCGGAAATTCTCGAATTACAAATTTTCGAAAATATATCGAACAATATTTTGTTACTTCGACGAACAAAAGTTGTTTTGGAATATTTTATTTGATATTGAAAATTTGCAAATTACAAATTTTCGAAAATATATCGAACAATATTTTGATACTTCGACGAACAAAAATTGCATGGAGAATTTTATTTTTGTATCATTGAAAATTTGCGAATTGGAAGTTTTAAAAGTATACGCAACAGTAATGAAATACGTCACTTTTGATTTTTCCCAAATTTAACTTTCCAGTCGATAAAAATTTTCGAATGAAAAATTTGCACTGTTAATCTTACCTTTTATCGATAAAGTGAGAATCTACTAACCAAGTTCGTGGCATTTTATAATTCACATTAGTGTGCAATATTATTGTCCAAAGTCACTCGTAAACATCACTTCCATACTTTTTATCAGAACATATTTTCATCCGTATCAAAAATTCGAGCCGTTACAGTAACCCGGCCCATTTCACAGACTTTTCTCGCGTAATGAAAACAGCTCGGTAATCACGAGCTCCACCGAGAAATCTAGTTCCTATTAGCGTAAAACGCGTTAAATTGAGAAACCCGTTCCACACTCGGTGCTAGCGCAATGAAATTACTACTATGCACACTTTTATCAATAGCGAATCGTTAGGCGATACTCGTTAACGTACGATTTCACTCTATCCTTTATTCAGCTAGCAGCGACTCGTTCAACCGTAATAGGCACATTTAGTAAATTGTAATTGATATTTCCGAATGGAACGAACACATGTAACGCATATCCGAAAGAATTTCAACCGTAACTAATTCCATTGCAATCTCGCAAAGAATTCCGTCTAACGTTTATTCGAATCCTTTCCCCCCGACGTCAGACAAAAATCCTCTTCTTCAGAAACTTCTTATCCCGGCGGTATTTCATCGCGTCAGAATTCTATCCATTGTTGCGCAACGACAGACAAAGCGACTAATTAAAAGTTACCCGCGAAGATACAGGCTCGATGGAGCGACACGGGAGATCAAGTGAGAATAAAACAGTTTTCCAAAACTGCTTCTTCGTAGAAAGGCAATCGGTGTACGAACCGGTGGTTGAGAAACAGAATAGATACGTGCGTAACTAGAGCTCGATTACCATCATCGGATACAAAGTGCACGTTATACTCGATCAGCTGGCACGGCGATTATGTCATCGGGCACAATAAACCGGGTTTTAGTTATTTACCAGCCGCACTTTCATAAGTGTGTCGATTATGTCACCTGTTCTCCACCCAGAGAAAGTTCTCCGACAAAATGGTGTCAGTTCGATTTCCTGGACTGGCGTGACAAAACCCTCCTTAAGGGGACAATTCCGTTCGAGACGGGATAGAACGTGGAGAGAAGAGAAAAAAGGGACGTTAACGACAAATTGGGAGAAGGGTCGCGGTTTTTTCTTTCCTTTTTATGTAACCTCCAGTTCCTGTTGGCCGACAGGCAAGCGGCAGCCTCGAGATGGCAGACAATTTGCCTCAAGTACGCTTCGATCGACCTGCACGTCAGCTAATTACTTATTTACCTCGTTAGGCGTAATTACGAGAGACGCGTGAATCGTACGCGAATAGCGTGCATCTTTTGGGAACGTTCCCACGTAGGAAAACGATTTCCTCATTATCTCGTATTCTTTTCTCCGTGGAACAATGCCGGATGGCAAATATTATAGCCGCAGGATTGCTCAGGGTATTTTACAACCGGCGAAATTGCCGTGAAATTGTTAGGATACACGTGATATTCATCGGCACTCTGATCACTGTGTCTAGCGTGGTTCGTGTTGCGGTTCATTATTAGCTCCGTCCACCTGAGGATTTTCGTTTCGAGGGCATGGTACCAGATGATTGTACAGGTTTGTGGGAAATTTCTTTTCCATGATAGGAGATTGTTAACTCTGCTACTGTCTTCGATCCTTTTTTCACCCATCGCTGTCTTGGCTTCTTTTTAAGACGATTTCCAGCGTTACCGAGTTTATGTTCTCTTAACACTTGAAGCTGTTTCGTTGGAAACTTGACTTAAAGCGCCGCAATGTTTACGAGTTTTCTAGAAACATGCACTTTTACGAAATAAAATAAAATCAGTCTTGCGAAACAGAACATTGCGGAAACTCGCGCAGCGACGATTCAAGAGATATCATACATTTTTCTGCGCAAACCTGCAAAAATTAGGCGGGCTCGGCGTTTAAAGTGTTAATGTTGCATTGAAAGTTTGTCGCCTAGGTTCAAAAAAATTGTTAAACGCAAGGTAATTGGGTGAAAAAGGACCCAATTACAGTCGAAGGGAAGAATTCATTTGGTGTTAATCTCGTAGAACACTTGGAGCTGTTACAGCCAAATTAGTATTTCCTCGATTAGGTTGTCAGACTTCCTTTTTTGTTCAGCTTGGATAGCTAGTCAGTCTCTAAATGGCTTAAGGACTTTCAAGTCCACTGTATCAATCAAAGACAGGATCTACGACCGACTGGTGTTTTTGTAAGCGACATGCCAGTCGAACGAGATGGGGATAAATCGATTAGGCTTTCTCGTATGATTCTTTATTACCGCGGGAAAACAGGAAGTTATTTTATTCATATCAATATACACGGTGTTTCCTGTTATCGACACAAGAAAACATTTACCCGTACTTTTTTTTTTTTATTTTCCCCCCATTCACGCTGAGGAGGTGAAACGAGTCCTCGAGTTTGAAACCTATTTGGTCGAAAATCTTGGAAGAGATGAAAAATGGAGGAAGGGATAGACATAGAGAAATGGTATAAATGTGGAGCTTTTGTTTCTCAATGACGAATTGATCTGCGTAATTAATTTTTCACGCAAGATCATCACGCACCATGTTTTGTCTGTGAAGAAAGTTCGCGTTAAAATTTATTCAGCTTCGCACAGGTGTACATCACGTAAAACGCGGCGTGGGGCAAAACTTCACATGCAGCGGCCAGAACAATGGAACAAGATTTCGATTACGTGGTCGCGTTTCCATTAAAGAGTTGGGCGTTTTCGCTGTTCGATCCAAATGAATTCCGTTACGTGGTTAAAACGATTCCGTACATGGAAAGTGTATCAGGGACTTGTCAGGGATTAGAAAATACCGGTGAATCCAGAATTGAGCATAGATTTCCATAGTGCACCTAGTATAAAAGAACTCTCCACCCTATTGGACCACACAGTTCGATAAGTGAGCCAGGTTTAACATGAATCTTGTGGTAAGAATCCTGCAAAGTTCTCTCGTAAAAAAAAAAGAAAATTTGCTCGTTCCGTTCGATCAGTGGAATAGTGATCTCTTCGCCGATCTTTGGCGAGAAATATAGCGCCTTGGTGACGTTCGATCGTCGTTCTAGTTGCTTCTATATTTGGCCATTTTTGCCATTGGGATAGACGCCACTGTGCCATCGTCAGCCAACAACCCGGAAAAAGCGACGAGCACCAATGACGTGCCGCAACAGATGGAAAGTGGGAATCAGGAGGAGTCGAATTCGCAGGATCAGGCACAGGACGACAAGAAAGTAACGAAGAGAAGTCACGGTTGGAATCCGTGGAGTTACGGAGGATACGGCTACGGAGGTTACGGTTGGCCTTGGTAGGTAGATTGTCGCAAGAAACTTTCCGATCTAGAAAGATTTTGCGGAAAAAATAGCGGCTTGCTTCGGCGAATCTTGCTGTTGCATTTTGTAACAGGATGTCGAATATTTTGTACGGTATTAACAAACTTCCTGTTGTTTCGCTGTGTTCTGATAGGCAGAATTTTAACTGATTTTTCTCTGTTTACCTTTGAAGAAAATTCTGCGGATTTCTAAATATCGAAAAGGAAACAGTGACGAAATTTTAGAATCTTTATTATTTTATATACATATTATTGCGAAAGGGATACCCATCGGCGAGGTTTTTCGTGTGTCGAAATATCGTCAAAGATTCGAAAAATTCTTTTATTCTTATACCTACGTCAATTATTATAACAATTACTTGTGAGTGTCTGAAAAATTATTTTATCTCGAATAACGTTTTTCGTCATTTTCTTGGACGTTTTTCGTTGAGTGGATTAATTGTTAGGAATTTTTGAAACTATTTCAATTGTTGTGGAAGTAATTGGATATCGCAGAGATGTTAACGAATTATGATTTTAGGTATGGTATTGGTTATGGATGGTACCCAGGATGGTCGTATTACGGCCATGGATATGATGGGTATGGTGGATATTCTGGATATCGTGGCTATGGTCACGGTGGCTGGTACAAGGGATGGTAATTGGGCGAAAATAAAATGGTCCAAGACGTTTTCATCACCTTACGAATATATATCACTTCTTTTGTTAGTATTTAAGAGCTTCTGCACCGAGTAATTGTTAAAATAATATCGAACTCCGAGACTGAGACATTATCTTCATAGTTTGTTCGAACGTAAATTGTTTTTGCTGCTTTCGATATTCATTAAATAATTAAAATATACTTCTCGTTCTAAAATTATTCAGAAGTTGCGCATCATAAATATTATAAATCACTATCATGATTATTATCAGTGAAAAAGAAAATACACGATTCATATAACATAAAGAGTGAAATAATTTTCTACATACCCTTATACGTTTCCTGATGTAAGTTGCCAAAACTTGCTCGCAAGTAGTTAGATTTTTGTCCGTATCCTGTGGAATAGGAGAGATACGTATGTTTATCACGTATTGCAAAGTAGTTTTTAATATCTGTGTTAACCGACCTTTAAAAGCTTCGTCAGCTCTCTGATTTTCTGTAGTTTCGCCTGTTCTTGTTCACACAAATTATTGCACACTCGTTGAGGATTCGTTGCGTACATGTCAAGATGACACAAGGGACGTTTTGCTTTTTCCAGTTTTGCGTTAGTAATCCATAATATACTTGTCGTACGTAGTGACACTTCTTATGCACCTGATATGCGGCATGGTGTTGCCTGGAAACAGTTGAAACAACACACATTTTATTGGACCCCTTTCACAAAGCTTTAATACAATTTCTGTTGGTATCCAATTTGTGTACTTTCGTTTATTTTTTAATTTTTTAATTAATTTTAGTTTTAGATATATTAATCTTTCGCAGTGCAAATAAATTTTACAGTTTTCTCTTTTCTCTTTTGTCGAACTTACGGGAACTGCTTTATCTTAAATGGGTAATGGCACTTTTTGCTTTATCAACGAAGTAACATTTTTTTTGAGAGAAATTTATTCAACAATATCTCGTTTGGGATTAAAATGTAATTAATTAAAATTTAATTTATAACTTCATTTATTATGTGGATAGTTATTATTTGTATAAAACTGAAAGTGCAGACATGTTTCACAGTAATTTTTTAAATTAGACCACATTATTTTCTTGAGTAAATAGAAACTTGTCACCCTGTATATCTTACGTCGTTAAGGTGGAGTTCTGCAATTCCTAGTTCCCTTCCCATAGCTTACCATAGCTTACCATAGACTCTATTAGAGGGCCTATTAAAGGGTGGAGGTACCGTAGGCGTAATCTTTTTTGGCGGGACAATCTCCAAAATGTAACAAACTACTACAGACTATGTTTCACAATTAAAAAAAAATTACTATCGCTCATTTTCACATATACACATATACGTCAATGTACAGAACTCTTTAGCTACTCCAAATTGAAGCCAAAATAAGAACTATTCCCTCTCAATATTACTTGCAGTTTAGATTAAATTTCTTATTGTCCCAAAATGAGCACACTATACCAATCAATCTTACCTCGTTTCAACAATTTATTTATCCACATACGGGACACCAGGCACCCCTTAAAAAAAGGGGTACGCTTTCAGTCATTCTGTCTCAACAAGAGAGTCAAAGGGTAACCGGCTCGACGTTTTGTGGCCGAAGTTTATTGCTCTTAACTAGACACTGACCACTGTACACAAAAGAGATGCTGTCGCATCCCCCTTTACTGTGGACCAGTTCTCTGTCAGCGGAAATTGGCCGGCAAGATTTCAGAATAAAAGTCAAAGGCTAACTGGGTTCATTTTGCGGTTTGCCTACGTCAACAATGGAAAGTGGACAGCGGTCATTGTTGCGAAGAGGCGGCAGCAGCATCCCCTTCCGGATGGACCAGTTTTCCAACGGGACAGGATCCGCGAGAGCGTTCGAGAGGGCAGGACCTCGCCACGCGAGCAAACAGGTTCCGCTCGAAGGGATGAGACACTGTCGACGGAACGAAAATAGATCGTGATCCAGATCAGGTGAAAAACTGGTCCATCGCTCGGAGACCCTTTCGAAAACGGGAGCAAAACGTCCACGTGCTGCTTGATTGTGAGCAGAGATCAGGGATCAGAGCGAAGAAACGTGGACGACAGGTACACCGTTCGCGATTGGGAGCAGGTTGCTCCTTTTTTTAATTCGATTGTAACTGAACGAGATTTGCATAATTTTGACGAGCTGATATGGATTAATAATTTTTGGAAAATTCCTCGATGGCTTGAATTACTTTTGACTTAGGATTTGATTAAAGATTTAAGCGTTAGAATTTTTTAGGAACAAGTTAGGATCTTTACGAACTAATTAATTCTCTTGTAATACGTGGACAAAAGCGTATGGAAAATTATAGAAATTATTTTAAATAGAAATTCTTAATTTCAATGGAGCTATGTGTTCTCAAAGTGAACGGTTAAAACCGCGGGAACATTCAGGACGACCTGACATTTACCAAATACGCAATAAAAAGATCACTTCCTTAAAAATCGTTTACCGATTATAAATGTTTTTTCTCATCTAAGCTGTTCAACTACCGTTCACCGTGCAGAACAGTTCTAAATTCAACGTCCGTCCGTTTATACCTCCTATTATCGCGGCAGAGCCCCCGTTCCCTCGGATTCTCTCGTCTGTCTGGCTCAATTTCCGCGGGCTTGTCCCAAAGAAAATTCTCGCCGGTGCTAAACGAACTGGCTGAAAAAAAAAGGGGCTGGAGAGGCGAGAGGGACAAAGGAGAGCCGGAGCACTCGATCAAAAGTGAAAAAAAAACAAAGGCTGGTGACGTGTGTGTCACATGAGACGCCGAAACCAGCCCACATTGGCCACTTCTTTCACCTGTCCATCATTCGCTGCCCTCCAAAGAGGACGACGTCTCTTGCGCCGGTGAAAGAGGACATTTGCGTTTCCGTCCTCGTACCAGTCATTGTACGCTTTTATCGGCCGTTTCGCGTTCAGTTTCTACCGGGGATTTCGTGTGCTCCTCGTGGGGAATACTTGAAAGGGGAGCCTCTACCATAATTGACTGCTTTATTCCGGATTCCAGACTCGAGGTACTCACGTCAATACGTAATCGCGCGCTTCGCCCGGGCTACGTCGATATAAGCGACGCGATACCAATTACTCCGTAGTCGATTTTTTTTACACCGGAGCTTAGAGTAGAGAGACGCGTGTGGCCTCGGTCACGGGATCGAGACGCCTCAACTTTCGTCGTTTTAATTTATCGAACGATCAACGAGCACGCTGGTGACCTCGTGGGTGAAACGAGGGTAAAACGAACATAAACGGTGAGGGAGAAAGAGAGAGAGAGAGAGAGAGTAGGGAAATACTCTTTCGTACTTTACCTCGTCTTCCTCTCTCTCTCGCTTTCTCTCCAGTTAATTTGTCTTTCGTCTGCAAAGACGTGTTTCCCCGAGGAGGCCATGAAAAGGTTTCACTACGTATACGCTGCATTACCTCCATTCGTATCGGTAACGAGGCCTCCACCTACAGCCAGGGATTTCGCTGGAGTGAGGTATACGCGTGTAGACGTACGCGGTATTGCCGGGACACCCCGTATATAGGGAGGGCGTATTTGTTTTACTGCCTGGCTGCCGGCATTGGTTGAGAACGTGCTCCGCATTCTTGAAATCGTGCCACCCTTGTTACGGCATAGACTCTCCACTGCCACCATCCTCTTCCTTACCTTCCTCCTTCTCCCCCCACGCTTTTGCGCCGCCGAACATCCCGCCATCAAGCTGGCTCTCTTCTTTCCTGGCACTAGCACCGCCAGGATCGACACAAGGATCGTCATCCTTCCCCCTTATCTCCGGCGGACATAAAAATTCTTCACTCCTGTAATGGTCACGCGACGCGGCTGCTGGATGTGTGCGCCGCGATGCCGTTCGCTGGTTTCTGGAATAAACTCGGGGACGATCTTTGGGTGACGGGTGAGAACGCTGTTTTGGGGAGTTTGCGAGATTAATTGTGTTTTGGGGAATTGCGACGGTTTTCTTTTTTTTTTTTTTTGGTGGACCTTTGCGATTGATGGTAGAGTGAAACGAGTAGGGAAATAATGGCGTTGCTATGGAAGAAAATTTACTTTAAGGAGTTTTCAATGATGTATTGTGACGTGTGATGGAGAACTTTTAAGTAGAATGTTTGGGTGGAAAGATTGGGACGACTTAATTTCGTCGTTTAATTCATCGAACGATCAAGAAGCACGATGGTGACCTCGCGGGCGAAACGAGGGTGAAACGAACACGAGCGATGAGAGGGAGAGAAACTTTGGAGAAGCACGTCTTTGCAGACGAAAGACAACTTCGTTTAAATCACAGAAATGTTAATTTTGCAATTTATGAATATCACTCGATCGTGATCTTCATCTTGAATATTTTCGTGCACGTAACATTACCCTAATTTCAGAATCAATAGTTTCTAGTCTATTGATATTTCTTTCACTTATTTATTCTGTCTAAATTACCCCAAATTCGTTAATCATTTTACTGTTCAAAAGTTAACCATAGATCAGGATCAAATTTCACCGATCACGTTTTATTTGGAAAAAAATTGACTTCGTTCAAAAACAAATTGTCCTTAATTCCTTGGAGAGAAAGAGGACTACATACATCGCTAAATCTACACATAGTGAAAATATTATCGATACCTCGGTCATCTTATCAGCGACAACCTAATACGAGAGTCTGTATCAGCGTTCACCGTTGAACGGAGTGAATCCACTCGAGCAGCAGTCCTCGTGAGAAATGCAAATAAATTTTCCCGGGTTAATCGTTGGGCGATACTCATTTTTCTCCGTGGCAATCGTAAAGTTCTTATCTTCCGCGACAGCCGTGGCGTTCTCCCCTCGAAACAATACGGTGAATCTGATTTCCGGCCGCGCGGCGACGAAGGGGGCGCCAGGAAGTAGCGAGTCGTGACACGACGGTGAGTCTTTTCACCGTGGAGGATCGTGAATCGGGCGAAGACGGTAAAAATATTAGAGCGATGGCGGAGAGGGAGAGAATCGAAAGAAGGACACGGGAGAAGAGTCCGG